TCGTATCCAGAAAACTGTGATTTATATAGTATTTTAATGTTACACCCTCGCAAGTTAGAAGGAAAGCACCACACTCTGAGTTTCAATTGAGAGGTCTTTATTGCCAGCAACCGAGAGGGATCTCACGCTCAAAAATCTCTTGGCCCTGACTAGGGGGATGTGATATCTTTTTATACCATTCTAGGGCAAAGGGGAGGGGGAGTCTAGCTGAAGTGGAATTTTACAGAAGCAGAACAAGCAGCTTAGAAGAGGAAAGCTGGTAACTAGGAGGCAGAAGCATTCCCATGATTGTTGGTTACCAAGAGGGGGTATTCACAATAGCCAGTGGACTTGCCAAGCAGGTTGTGGTTACAATGGTTACAAGGTGCTGGGTACAGCATGACCCAGTGCACCGGAAGGAGAAATGGCGGGGAGGGAGAGGCTAAGATGGGGTTTGTCAGGCTCACATCTAAGATGGAGTCTGTTAGGCTCACATCATTCCCACTTGTGTTTTTGGGGAGTCAAAGTGTTAACTCCATAGTGAAAGAGGATTATACTGAGTTCTGAGATACATAAGTTCGACAGAAGTTATGTGCTGTCTTATGAAATTAAGAAGCCAGTTCAGTATGCATGGTTCAAAGATTAAGCCTAATAAGAGGAGAAGGGGACCTCCTAATCCAGTTATTAGGGTGGTTAACCATGGACTCCAGTTAAACATGCTTTGGTACCAGGGAGTATTATTTTCTCGATCCTGCTGGTGTTTATCTAGGTTTTCTCTGACTTTCTGGAGAGTGTCTTTAATGACACCTGTTTTATTGGCATAGAAACAGCAACTTTCTCCCAAAGCAGGGCATAACCCACCTTGGGAGAAAAATAAAAGATCTAGTCCTTGGTGATTTTGAAGGGCTACGTCAGCCAAAGACTCTACCTGGCTATGTAACAAATCTATAGCCACCTGGAGCCTTCCTAGGTTAGTATCTATTTGTTGGGATGGTGGCTAACCCAGTTTCTCCTCGAACTAAGGCAGCAGTACCAATGGCTGCTGACTGAGCCACACTTAGTCCCACTAGGAGAGGCACTAGAAGTGGAGCTGCTTGGTCCGGGTGGTGTGAGATGTTGTCCTTCTGGTCCACTATACACATATACTTGGGGAAGCACATGGACAGTGACACACAGGCTAGGGCCAGGGGTTGAGCCATTGAGGCAATGAGTTAAGCCTAGGTGCATGCTAGCCAGGTGCTGTTGGGTGCCTAATATGAAACTGAGGAGTTTATAACAGTGAGTAAAGACCGGTTGTAAGTAGTCTGAAAAGGAGAAATGGACATGTTATAAGCAGGACTAATTAAGCAAGAGGCATTTCCTGAGATGTCTCCCAAGGTGAGGGAATGAGAAGGTTTGGTGCAGGGGGAGAGGCTTGACAGGACAGGTCCTTTCCAGGCAGGAGTGAGTCCTTTTTTTGAAACTTTTTGACATACGCCAGGTCACCAGGACAGAAAGAGTGGCAGGGCCCAGTCTGGTCAGGAACTGGATTAGGGTGTGCTTCCCAGACGAGTGGCTGGATGATGTTTTGAACCTGTTGGAGAGACTGTAGGTACTGTAACAAATTAGTCTGGGTTATTTCTGCTATTAGGGTATTCATTAACCTGAGTAGTATAGGGGGTGCCCTTTCATACATAATTTCGAAAGGAGAAAAACCAGACCAGTAAGGGGTGCACCTAACACTCAGGAGGGCTAAAGGAAGGAGGGCCATCCAACTTTCACTGGTTTCTAGAATTAATTTTGTAAGGGTGTTTTTTAAGGTTCGGTTCATGCGTTCAACCTGTCCTATGCTCTGAGGTTGGTATGCACAGTGGAGTTTTCATTCAATGTTTAGGGCTTTGCTGATGGACTGAGCTATGGATGAGGTGAAGGCTGGCCCATTATCTGATCCTATATAGCAAAAGGGAGTCCATGTCGAGGGATGATTTCATTGAGTAGGAATTTTACCACTGTAGAAGCGGTTTCTCTTTTGGTGGCAAAGGCTTCAGTCCATCCTGAGAAAGTGTCAGTTAATACCAGGAGACATCTGTAGCCAGCTCGGGACGTTTTATTTCAGTGAAGTCTATTTCCCACCTCTCTCCCAGGCTACATCCTCGGAGACGGCAGCCTGGTTCAGGCTTGGGACCTTGCTTGGCATTTACCTGTGCACAGGCTGCGCAGCTGCTGGCCGCCTGGGTAGTTAAGTCCCAGAGGTGAGGAATTTTGAAATGGCCCTGTAAGAGTTGAGTCAATTTGGTCCCTCCCAGTTGGGTAGTGGAATGGAGTCGGCTGACTAGGACTGGTCTGAAAGAGCCAGGAAGGAAGATTCTTGAGTCTGGGAGGATCTACCATCTATTTTTATCTTTGTTGGCCTGGAGGTCTGTTGCTTGCTCTTCTTTCTCTGGGGAGTAGTAGACAGGGCAGGCTGGCAGGCTGGGAGGTGGGAAGGAGATGGCTGGCAATAGAGTTAATGGGGTAACCAGGACTGTAGCAGCTTCGTGGGCTGTAGAATCTGCCTTTTGGTTTCCCCAGGAAACAGCCGTTGTTTTCTTTCTGGTGTCCCTTGCAATGGATTACAGCCACCTGGCATGGAAGCCATACAGCATCTAGTAGAGCCAGGATTTCTTCCTTGTTTTTGATAGTTTTTCCAGTCAACATGAGTAGCCCTCTCTCTCGGTAGATGGCACCATGGACATGCATGGTAGGAAAGATGTATCAGCTGTCAGTGTAGATGTTGATATGCTTGTTCTTTCCCCATCTGAGGGCTTGGGTGAGGGCTATTTCTAAAAGCTGAGTAATATTTATTCCAGCAAATCCTTTATGTTTTTGTAACTTTTTTGTGATGTCCGGAGCTGTCTGGGCCACAAATGCCAAGTTAACAGCATGGCTATTTTCCGGGGCCGCCAGGTCAAATGGGGTGTAAACTCGGAATGCTTCCCAGAGGCATTCCAAGAATGCTCCAGGAGATTTATCAGTCCCCTGGACAACCTTGGTAGTTTTAGACAAATTCATGGGCTTCCGTGGGGCCCCTTTAATACCTGTGAGAAGATACTGGTGGAAGTTGTTCAGAGCCCACCTCCCAGCTGAGGTATTGGGGTCCCAGTCAGGCCGGGTGGAAGGAAAGATTTCCTCTAAGAGGTCTTGGGCCTCGTCTTCCGGCCTGTTTATTGAGGCCAACAAGGACTTTTTGGCCTCCCTTCTAATTCGGTCCCTTTCCTCAGCCGTAAAAAGGGTCAGGAGAAGCTGCTGACAGTTATCCCAGGTGGGCCAGTGAGTCCAGAGTATGGACTCAACCAGTGAGGTTAAAACCTGAGGTTTCTCAGAAAAGGGTGGGTTCTGAGTCTTCCAGTTATACAGGTCAGAAGTAGAAAAGGGAACACAGACTAGAAATGGGCTGAGCGTTCACTCCCTGACGGGGGTGATGCCTCCCTTAAGGGGAGAAGTGGGGCAGCAGCCTCCGGCAGAGGCCGTATTTGGGAGACGTCAGGTGGGGAGGCAACAGGGGACGAGGAGGCAGAGGGGGACCCTAGGGGATCAGGAGGATCATAGGGTGGGGGTAAGGGGTGAAGAGAGTTCTCCTCCTCCTCTGAAGGGGGCAGAACAGGAGGAACAGAGGGAGCAGGGGGTCAGGGCAAAGGAGGGGTCCGGCTCAGAAGGACCTTGGATGAAGGGCTGTGAACGCCACAAGATCCGAGCCAAGGGGGAGGGTTCTGGACTAAGTCCAGACACCTACATTTGGTCAACGTAGGGAAATTGATCAGGGTGTCCGGGCGATCCGGTAACGACCAGCCAAACAGCTCGGGCCGTCAGGGGATCTAAGGACCCCGATGGTGGCCAGCCGGTTCCAAAATTTGGCCATTTCACTTCACAGCGAGTCCGGAGTCTACCTTTTGTAAGGCAAACTCCGTAGTCATCCGAAAAACCTGAGGAGAAATTTTTTAACACACATTGAAGAGGAGTGGAGGGGTGAGTCTCCTGAAGGAGAAATGGCGGGGAGGGAGAGGCTAAGATGGGGTTTGTAAGGCTCACATCATTAATGTGCCTTTATAAATCACTAATCACTTTCTTCATGACGTATGTTAAAATGGCTTATGTCACCTGATGTAATCCTTAATGAGAAAATTAAAAAGCCATGACTGTGCCTGGCTTTTTTTTCTATATTAGAGGCTTAAAATGACCTCGAAGCGGCAGAAGAAATGAGCAGAACTGCACTCCACATTAAAAATGAGCAGGTTCCATAGGTTCATTTTACTCTTCCTCACACACGGCACTTACATGTTGCATACTCTGCTCCATGGCACGCACAGACATCCCAAATCCCGGAATGGGCCTGAGGAACGTCTCTGGAAAGCGCGCCCGGAGGGCGTGGGGGGTCCTCCCTCTCGGCCAGGGACCAGGGCGTGGACACCCGCTGGTCCAGTCGTGAGAAACTCAGCATCCTCCAGACAGGAGGCGCCTCTTTCCCAGAAGCGGCGGCTCGGGAGGGTTCTGACTAAACCTTGCGTGGCCGGCCCGGAGGGCGCGGTTGATCCTGGGGCCCCGAAGTTGTGGGCGAGGAGTAATCCGCCCGCCGGGACCGACCCGCAGAGTCTAGGTGGCTGAAACCCAGGGGCGGCGCTGCAGGGTGCTGAGGGGACCGGAAAGGTGGCCAGGACCTTCCGGTCCCCTCGGCCCGCCACCTGCCCAGTACCCCCGCAGCCCTAAAGCCTGGCGGACAGGGAGCGCACGCGGCCCTCGCCTCGGCCAGGACAGGGCGGCGAGAAGACAGCTGCTGGACTACAAGGCTTGACCACTCCGCGACCCACGACCGCCGAGTAGACGAGCAAACGGCCTGCACCCGCAGCGCGCCCTAGTCTCCGGGTCCGACGGATATGCCACGCACGCAGCCCCGCCCAGCGCCGCTCGCGGTAGGGGCGGAACCGCTGAGCTGGCCCGAGCGGATTCGCTCAGCTTGGCCAGGGGCGGGGTAGGTCCGCCCCTCCAGGATCAGCCCCACCCCCGTCACCCCGCCCCAGGCCCTGAAGGAAATAGGGACCCGGCCTAGAGTCTTGTGTAGCGGAAGGGGGAGCTAGGAAGAGGCTGAGGGCAGAATCCAGGAGGGCCTGGCTGCGGGGGAATGAAGCCTCCGCCTTCTCGGGCCGAAGCCTTTAAATACGGGCTCAGGCCCTGGACTCAGGGTGCAGCGCGTGGCAGCTTGAGGGAGAGGCGTGCGCCGAGAGGGAGCACAGGCAGAACGGGGCGCGGGTGGAGAAGCTGCGGCAGCGCGGCGCGTAGGAAGGTGCTGTCCGAACGATCGGGATAGGAGTGGTCCCCGCGCTTGCTGCTGGTAAGTGGGTGAGCGCCGCTGCTGGGCTGGCCCCGCCGCCGGGGCGGGATGCTCCCGGGTGTGCGCGCTGCTCCCAGTCGCTCGCTGCGCTCGGTCCCGGGCTTCCAGTCTCACGACCTGCGTCTTTTTGAGGCTCTGGGCGGGAACCGCATTTTGGAACTGCTGTCCTTGGGACGGGGTAGCCTGGGCTTCTTATTCAAGACTCGTGAGTCTTCCAGCTCCTTCTCTTTCTGCTTCTACCCACTTTCTGACTTGGATTAGATTTCCCTGCCGCCTCCAAAGCCGAACGCCCACTGCAGGAAGCGGTTCTCTCGTTGGGGACCTCATTTTGGCTGCAGAGTCGTAGTCTTTTGTTTGTGTTTAAACGTATGCTCACCTGAGGGGCTGCTGCTTTTCTCAGGCCGCCTCTCTTAAGAAACCAAATAGAAACGAAGTCAGAAAGCCCCTTTGAGAGCAAAATCCTAAGACTATCGTGATATCTGGGATGTGCTGGAATCCATTCTTGCCCCCTACACCCTAGAATTGCTGTTTGATGTCGGGAAAGGCGTTTCTTGGGTGCCTCAGGAGACCATGTTTTTGTGAGATCTTGAAAAAAATTGTAAGTCCTATAAATATTTGGGAAGATAACTTAGTAGGGTTGGGAATTCTAGTACAGAGAAAAGAGGGGCTTGCTGGTAGGAATCTATTCATGGGCATACAGAGCAGTAGCTGTCTATCCACAGACCTCGAAAACACAGTGAGCCTTTGAGTTTCTTCAAATCCCCTACGAAATGGAGAACAGTAGTCTTTCTTCAGGGGAGTTCTGGAATGAAAGAGCTGACTGTCTGCTCTGAGATGTGCTTGTTAGTGGCCAGAATCCAGTTTAAGGTAAGGGGTGGACAACCCTGATTGAAAGGATTTCATTTCTTCTCCCGTTGCTGTACTCCTTTTTCTAACAAAATCTGTAACTGGATAAGCATAATCCATCTTCCTTCCTGTTTACTTCCACAGCTTTACATGATAACCCTTAGATATAATTTTATACCGGCTTTCTTACTGATTAAATATTTTCCTCTGGTCAGGCATCTTTTACTGTTTAATTTCTGGAAATGATTAAAATGATGTATGAAACTGATGTATCCAACTATAATGCCCATTGTTAGCTCCTGGGTACCTATGCAAAGTATGCTGTAGAGAGCTGGGATTAGAAGAATTGTATTCTGTTTAGACTGTAGTAGGACATATATTATTTGTTAGTGACCCCTTCTGGGTTGGAATGTTTATTTGAATTTATGATATTTTACATGAAGAGTAGTTTCGGAATGGTTTGGTTTGTTGTGACTCTCCCAACATACAGAGGTAAAAACTCATTTCAAAATAACCCATTTAACAAGGAAACACTCACGAGTCTCTGACAGAACAATAGAGGGCTAGAGGGTACATGAAAGTAGAAATAGAAGATGGAATTGGAAGACATCTGTGTCATGCAAAGTGTATCACTAGCACTATGTCAAACTCCATGTTAAAGTTTATTGAAGATTTTATTGAAACTTCCAAGTGACCATTTAACTGGACTTGCACAGATTGTACATCAGCTTCTTCAGTAATTTTCCCATTGTCATCTATAAGCCGTATTCCATGGGAAATATCAAGGCAAGAATACCCAAAATAAAGCTTGTGTAAAACACATCCAGTTCTGTAATGCAGGTCCACTTGCCATCAGTAGTCTACCCCAGCTGATGTATGTAAAGCAAGTTGAAATGTGGTCTTACAATCAAGGCAGATAAGAAGTAACTCTGGGGGGCCAGGTGCAGTGGCTCATACCTGTAATCCCAGCACTTTGGGAGGCCGAAGCAGGCAGATCACCTGAGGTCGGGAGTTTGAGACTAGCCTGACCAACATGGAGAAACCTGGTCTCTACTAAAAATACAAAATTAACCAAATGTGATGGCGCATGCCTGTAATCCTAGCTACTCGGGAGGCTGAGGCAGGAGAGTCGCTTGAACCCAGGAGGCATAGGTTGCGGTGAACCAAGATCAAGCCATTGCACTCCAGCCTGGGAGTGCAAGAGCCAAAACTCCATCT